AACTCAGTCTCAAAAAAAAAAGAGAGGCTATAAGACCAGGCATGGTGGCTCACGCTTGTAAATCCCAGCACTTTGGAGAGGGCTGAGTCAGGAGAGATTACCTGAGGTCAGGAGTTCGAGACCAGTCTGGCCAACAGCCAAGATTAGCACCACTGCATTCCAGCCTGCGTGACAGGCGGGAAATTCTCTCTCCAAAAAAAAAAAAAAAAAAAAAGGAAGGGTATATTTAGTTTATACCATGGGTACTATTAAAAAAAGAGAGGATGCTCCAGGCACCGTGGCTGATGCCTGTAATCCCAGCACTTTGGGAGGCTGAGGTGGGCAGATCACGAGGTCAGGAGATTGAGACCAGCCTGGCCAACATGGTGAAACCCTGTCTCTACTATAAATACAAAAATTAGCTGGGCGTGGTGGCGGGTGCCTGTAATCCCAGCTACTTGGGAGGCTGAGGCAGGAGAATCCCTTGAACCCAGGCGGCGGAGGTTGCAGTGAGCCAAGATTGTGCCAACTGCACTCCAGCCTGGGCAACAGAGTGAGACTCCATCTCAAAAACAAAAGAAGGTGTGTTTGGCAGACAGGGACAGGAAGGGCAGCACATGAAGGAAAGGTGCTCAGGCATGATACTACAACTGCAAGGCATATTTAGCCAGCTGCAAACAATATGGCAAGAATTGAAATGACAATGGATGGGCCATTAGGGGAGAAGGTTACCCAGCAAGACCAGGCTGGAGAGGTCAGGTAAGGCCAGATTGGAACCTATGCAAGACAGTGCCTGCTCAAGTTCTACCTCCTCACGAAATTACACGCATGAAATAAGACATAGATACCCAGCTGTGGCTTAGTCCATATCCCCAGCCATGTCATGTCCCATATACGCCCAGTCCAGGTCAGGGGAGAGCACGGGTTGGCTGTCCTCAGCACTTGACCCATATCACATCTGGAGTATCATGTTTAGGGCCTCAGTGACAAATTAGGGGGCATTGGTGAGGCAAAAGAGTAAATCTCATCCCTGTTACTCTGTCTTGGCCACAGGCAGATGTCTAAAAGTATGATTTCCGGCTGGGTGCAGTGGTTCATGCCTGTAATCCCAACACTTTGGGGGGCCAAGGCATGGAGATCACTTGAGCCCAAGAGTTTGAGACCAGACTGGGCCACAAAGTGAGACCCTTTCTCTAACAACAACAACAAAAAATATTTAAAAATTAGCTGTGTGGGCCGGGCGTGGTGGCCCACGCCTGTAATCCCAGCACTTTGGGAGGCTGAGGAAGGTGGATCATGAGGTCAGGAGATCGAGACCAGCCTGGCCAACATGGTGAAACCGTGTCTGTCCTACAAATACAAAAATAGCTGGGCTTGGTGGCGCGTGTCTGTAGTCCCAGCTACTTGGGAGGCTAAGGCAGGAGAGTCAATTGAACCCAGGAGGTGGAGGTTGCAGTGAGCTGAGATTGCACCACTGCACTCCAGCCTAGGTGATAGAGCGAGACACCATCTCAAAAAAAAAAAAAATTAAATTAAATTAAATTTTTAAAAAATTAGCTGTGTGGTGGTGTGCACCTGTAGCCCCAGTTACTCAGGAGGCCAAGGTGGGAAGATTGCTTGAGCCAAGGAAGTTGAGGCTGCAGTGAGCCATGATTGCACCACCGTACTTCAGCCTGGGTTGACAGAGCAAGTCCCTGCCTCAAAAAAAAAAAAAAAAAAAAAATGTGATTTCTCAATTGAAAAATGTAAAAATTGCCGGGCACGGTGACTCACGCCTGTAATCCCAGCACTTTAGGAGGCCAAGGCAGGCGGATCACAAGATCAGGAGTTCGAGACCATCCTGGCTAACACAGTGAAACCCCATCTCTACTAAAAATACAAAAAATTAGCCGGGCGTGGTGGCGGGTGCCTGTAGTCCCAGCTACTCGGGAGCCTGAGGCAGGAGAATCACTTGAGCCCGGGAGGTGCAGGTGGCAATGAGCAGAGATCGTGCCACTGCATTCCAGCCTGGGTTACAGAGCGAGACTCCGTCTCAAAAAAAAAAAAAAAAGTAAAAATCATATAATCATATGCATTGCTCAACTCAATTCCAGGCAAAGCCAAATGACAATGCACCAGTGAGTCACCAGTGAGATTGCATTTAAAATCCAGCAGCCTCAGAGCCAAGACCAGCCTTGTGTAAACAGAGTTCAGGGAGGCGTGAAGACAGTGGAGTGAGGTGTGCCGAGGCCAGCCGGCCTCTGGGCTCAGGGTGGGCTGTCCTCTGGGGGGCCGAGTGCATCTGCTAGACTGAAGGCAGACTAATTTTTTCATCTCATCCAGGAAAAGAAAGAAGATATGCAGCAGAGGAAAGGAATGGAACATTATCCCTCCCTACCTTACACAGGGGAGTGGTCATCTACACTAAAGCAAAACTTCCTTATCATAGGAAGACCATTTTCCTTGACCTTCAGGCGATTTTATAGTCATCTCGAAAGGAAAATGAAACTCAACTCAGGTTGATCGAATACAGAGAATCCACTAGGATGCAGTATTCCTGCCCACTTCTCTGGGAAGAAAGAAGCAAATGATGTAGGTCTTTTGGCGCTGTTTGCTTAATTATAAAGAAATTATTTTGCAAGCTGGATACTGATGCTTTATTTGAAACAGGTGTTTAGATGGTGGCATTTGTGAATTCTTTATCTTTTGTTCCAAACCAAAAGACTAAATAAATAGCAAGTATGGGTGGAAAAAAAAGCCTTCGCCGGGCGCGGTGGCTCATGCCTGTAATCCTAGCACCTTGGGAGCCCAAGGAGGGCGTATCACAAGGTCAAGAGATCGAGACCCTCCTGGCCAACATGGTGAAACCCCGTCTGTACTAAATATACAAAATTTAGCTGGGCATGGTGGCACGCACCTGTAGTCCCAGCTACTTGGGAGGCTGAGGCAGAAGAATCGTTTGAACCCAGGAGGCGGAGGTTGCAGTGAGCCAAGATTGCACCACTGCACTCCAGCCTGGGCGACAGAGCGTCTCAAAAAAAAAAAAGACTTCAAAACAGTATGGAACTATGGAACTGGATGCCATCCAAGAATACTGGAAAAATACACTCTGACTTCTTTATGCAGTAGAGCTAGGCTTTTCAAGATACAGGAGACCAATGAGAAGGGTTTTTTAGGCCAGGTGCAGTGGCTCATGCCTGTAATCCCAGTACTTTGGGAGGCCGAGGCAGGCAGATCACCTGAGGTCAGGAGTTGGAGACCAGCCTGGCCAACATGGTGAAACCCCATCTCTACTAAAAATACAAAAATTAGTAATCCCAGCTACTTGGGAGGCTGAGGCAAGGAGAATCACTTGAACCTGGGAGGCAGAGATTGCAGTGAGCTGAGATTGCGTCCCTGCACTCCAGCCTGGGCGACAGAGTGAGACTCCATCTCTCTCTCAAAAAAAAAGAGAAGGGTTTTTTGTTTGTTTGTTTGTTTGTTTGTTTTGAGATAGAGTTTCACTCTTGTCGCCCAGGCTGGAGTGCAATGGCGCAATCTCCGCTCACTGTGACCTCCGCCTCCCAGGTTCAAGCGATTCTCCTGTCTCAGCCTCCTGGGTAGCTGGGATTACAGGCACATGCCACCACGCTCAGCTAATTTTTGTATATTTTTTTGAAACAGAGTCTCGCTGTGTCACCCAGGCTGGAGTGCAGTGGCATGCTCTTGGCTCACTGCAACTTCCGTCTCCTGGGTTCAAACAATTCTCCTATCTCAGCCTCCCGAGTAGCTGGGGTTACAGGCACCTGCCACCACACCCAGATAATTTTTTCATTTTTAATAGAGATGGGGTTTCACCACATTGGCCAGGCTGGTCTCGAACTCCTGACCTAAGATGATCCACCTTCCTCGGCCTCCCAAAGTGCTGGGATTATAGGTATCAGCCACCGCGCCTGGCTTAATTTTTGTATTTTTAGTAGAGATGGGATTTCATCATATTGGTCAGGCTGGTCTCAAACTCCTGACCTCAGGTGATCCGCCCACCTCGGACTCCCAAAGTGCTGGGATTATAGGCGTGAGCCACCATGCCTGGCCTCAAAGTATTTTTATAATATGAACGCAGTAGGTCCTTATAATATCCTTAAAATATGGTAATAATAGCAATGTTTAACATTTGTAATAATAATATTTAACACTTTACATCCTTTGCATGTTATCCTCAGAATAACCCTATGAAGGTAAGTACTATAATCACCTCAAAACTGAGAGAAAGATAGGTTATGTAATTGCCCAAGGTAATTCAGCTAATAAGTGGAGGAGCCAAGATTTGAATACAGGCACTTGGCTTCAGAGTCTGTGTCCTTAAACCACTATGCTATCTGCCTTCCAAATATTATCATGCATTATATCAAAGGAGGAAACTGAGACAGTGCAGTTTGGTGACCTGCCTGACCTCACACACAGTCCCATTACATCATGACTAAGAGACAGAACCCAGGTCTTCCTCTTGAAAGCCAAGCCCCATTAGAGTGTGGCAGTTGAGATTAGCAGCCATTTCTACTTTAGATGGCTTTCCTAATAGGAAGGATTGCAGAGGGTGAGGGGTTGAGTCCAGAGTGGGTGGCCAAAGGCTTGCTGATATTTGCCTTGAGAAGACAATGGCTACCTTTACGTTTAGCAGCAGAGGGTGGATGAAGCTGTGTAAATGGGAGCTGCTTGGTGAGCTGACCCTGGAAGCCAGTCCGCAGGAACAGGGGCTTGGCAAAGGTTGGGCCAAGGGAGGTGATGCTCCCTTTGCCTCTCTATGAAGACACCCAGCAGCATATAGGGAGAGAGGGTGCAAACACATTATACTGCCACCACCCCCCCAGATGCCATCTGCCCCATTCCACTACTGTCCAGGAAAGGGCAAATTCACTCTCCCTGCTGCCTAGATCAGAAGCCCCGTCTCCTGCCTTCCTTTTGGAGCACTCCAAGAGAGCACAGCTCCCGATTTCCACTGACCTATCAAATGGGCTGAGGGCCACCTCCACCTCTGCCAAGCCCTGTTCCACCCAAGGCTTCGCCTCAGAGTCCCCTCAGATGCCACAACTCAGACACTGGACCCACTCAGAAAGTCTGGCTCAGAGAAGCAGGACTGTGCTCAAGGTGAGGCTCAGGCTAGGCACTTCCCCACTGTGGGCTGGCAGGGGTTCCACTCACTAGCTCTGGCCAATGAGAACTAACTATTTCATCAAGGCTAGGTCTCCCTCATTTCAGGGCCAGCGGCCTGATCATTTCAGATGTCTTCCCCCTCATTGTCCTTAGTGGTCTTTGCTAGGATTCAGAATACTGTCAAGTTGCTTTGTGAACTGGTGGTATGTTATCTGCCCCTAAATATCATGACAGAATGGGGTTGGCAGATCTAGTTCTGGTCACCAGAGAAACCAGAGTTCAAGATGGAATAGGGGGAAGGATAAAACTGTTGCTATTCAGAAATGATGGGATTGTCTATGACTATGTAAACACACTAACGAATCTATGAAAGAACTCCTAGTACATGACTTTGGCACTGTCACAGGATAAAAGGCCAGCAATTAAAAATCAATTGCATTTCTAGCCGGGCACGGTGGCTCATGACTGTAATCCTAGCATTTTGGGAGGCTAAGGCAGGTGAATCACTTGAAGTCAGAAATTTGAGACCAGCCTGGCCACCGTGGTGAAACCCCGTCTCTACTAAAAATACAAAAAATCAGCCAGCTGTGGTGGTGTGTGCCTGTAGTCCCAGCTACTTGGGAGGCTGAAGCACAAGAATCACTTGAACCCAGGAGGCAGAGGTTGCAGCGAGCCGAGATTGCGCCACTGCACTGCAGCCTGGTGACAGAGCAAGACTTTGTCTGAAAAAAAAAAAAAATTGTATTTCTATACACTAAAAATGCACAATTAGAAACCAAAATGAAAGGATGGGAGGGAGGAATAAAAGCTAAGATGCTGGCAGTGATCATTTGTATGGAGTTTACTAATTTACAGCATTCAGTACTTTCACAACAGCCCAGGGGAGGGAGGAGGAAACTCAGGAGCTTGGGGAACACCTGCATCCTCACTCCAGCCTGTTCTGAAATGCCTTTTGGGGATGCTGCTTCAAGCTGTGGGTGTTGGTGAAAGGCTCTTCAGGGGGTTCTGATCACTTCCTGAGGAAGAACCAGTCTGACAGGGAGCCTCAGCATCACCTGGGAACCTGTCAGAAATAAAAATTCCTCCCACTTAGGCGGAAGGTAGGGTTTAGCAATGTGTTTTAACAAGCTAGGTGATTCTGATGCACACCTATATGTTGTTCAAACCAGTGACTTCCTGTGACAAAGGCACAAGGGCTGCTGGAGGTTTGTAGCACCCTCTGCTGGTAACCAACTGCAAAGGTTGACTTCTGAACCAAAAAAAGGTTCTCATAACTCTAGTTTGTCAGCCTGTGCATTAAAAGAAAAAAAAAAATTAAGCAAAGAAAAGTTAAAAATTCTGCTGCCATTCTATCCAGGGCTGTCTCATCCCACTGCGGCACTTCTGAGATCATGCCGTATTTTCCTTTGGCTCTGCTGCAGCTTTCATCTCCTTGCACATCCTTCAATTCTTCCATGCTCCTAATAAAGCACCCAGAAGCACCTGATGAATCCTTCAAGGATAACATGGTCCAGGGCCAGGCAAATTGGCCTACACAGAAAGAGCTGGGTGGAGGAGGCCTTCTCTGCCTTGGCCTACACATGTCACTCCAGCTACAATGGAGATGTGAGGTGGGAATGTGAGTCACTCCTCTGCACAAAACCCAAATCCACCAATGGCTTCCCATGTCACTTGAAGCAAAACTTAAGTTTTCACCAGGACCTTCAAGGATTGTATGACTAGAGCCTAGTTACTTCTCTAAGTTCACGTTCAGTCACTTTTTTTTCTTTTTGAAATGGAGTTTTTGCTCTGTCGCCCAGACGAGTGCAGTGGCACGACCTCGGCTCACTGCAACCTCCGCCTCCCAGGTTCAAGCGATTCTCCTGCCTCAGCCTCGTGAGTAGCTGGGACTACAGGTGCCTGCCACCACACCTGGCTAATTTTTGTATTTTTGTAGAGACAGGGTTTCACCGTGTTGGCCAGGCGGGTTGCAAACTCTGACCTCAAGTGATCCACCCGCCTCGGCCTCCCAAAGTGCTGGGATTATAGGTGTGAGCCACCGCACCCAGCCAAAGGTAGGTTTTTAATTAAACTTCCTGCAGCGAGAAAGACTAAACACCTGGAGAAGGGAGGGGACTCTCAGTAAGAGAGTGTTAGGTGGGGCTGGTACAGGATTTGGGCTTGTGTTCGGTGTTCTTAAGGCAGGTTTAGGAAAGCAACCAAGTAGGGTGCTGCTCTGGACTCAGTGCTTTCAGAAAGCTGGGGCAATTTGGAATCTTAATTCTTATGAAGGAACAAATAATAGTTGCCTGTATTAACCAGGAGAGGGGTGCATGGCTATTTTTGTGGCTGCACGGTGTCTTTATTGCCATTCAGGCATGATTGTGAGTGAAGAGGATCCATTACAGCCAGGCAGGGTTCTCATCTGACGTCGATACTCTATAGAATTGCTTATGTTCATTAGGAGAATGCCACTCTACCCAGGTCAATTACTAGTTGACAACTGCCAGGAACGCTTTTTTTTTTTTCTCATATATGTGTTTATTGTCTAGAAAGTAAGATTCCTGAAGGCCGGGGCTTTGTTTTGTTTACCACTGAACCACTAGCACTTAAACAGTGCCTGGCATAGAATAGGTACCCAATAAATGTTTAATAAATATTCTTTCAAAACGTCTTCCATAGCTCAGATCCTACACATCTAAAATGAAGCCCTCCACAGGTAAAGCTGGGTCTTTGGAATGTCTTCCAGGTGATGGTAGGGCCAAAAATAGCTACTGCAGGCAGACCAGTATCAACATTACTCTTTATAGAACTTTAAAATAGAGAGCAGCTGAGTCCTTTGGGCTTTCCCTTGGACCAGACAGGACTTAGCCTCCTACAGGTACTCAAGGAAGACAATGATCAGAAAAAATTGTTACTTTTCAATGGCAAGAGATGGCCAAAGTAAAGACTATGTTAAAAATTAAACAGGAGAAACACTCCTCAATCTGCTAAATCATCTTCCTGGCTGGGCACAGTGGCTCATGCCTATAATCCTAGCATTTTGGAAGGCCGAGGTGGGAGGATCGCTTGAGGCCAGGAGTTCAAGATCAGCATGGCCAACATAGTGAGACCCCCATCTCCACACACACAAAAAAAGATGAAAAAGTATAATTTGAAAATCATCTTTCTTTTCCCACTCAACATCTTATAGTCATATAGTCTTTAATCTATAGTCATATAATCTTTAATAAAAGTCATAGTTGGCAGTTTCCAGAAAGTTTTACATACCAACCAAGTTGTCACCACTCCACCAATTCCTTATCATATTACTATTTTAAAAAAACTTTTTTTTTTTTTTTTGGGGGAGACAGAGTCTCACTCTGTCCCCCAGGCTGGAGTATAGTGGTATGATCTCGGTTCACTGCAACCTCCACCTCCTGGGTTCAAGCAATTCTCCTGCCTCAGCCTCCCGAGTAGCTGGGACTACAGGCACACGCTGCCACCCTGGGTAATTTTTTTATTTTAGTAGAGATGGGGTTTCACTGTGTTGCCCAGGCTGGTCTCAAACTCCTGAACTCAGGCAATCCACCCACCTCCCAACGTGCTAGGATTATAGGCATGAGCCACTGTGTCCTGCATCTTAAAAACACTTTTGGGCTGGGCATGGTGGCTCACGCCTGTCATCCCAGCACTTTGGGAGGCTGATGCGGGCAGATCACGAGGTCAGGAGATCCAGAACATCCTGGCTAGCACGGTGAAAATCCATCTCTACTAAAAATACAAAAAAATTAGACGGGTGTGGTGGCAGGCGCCTGTGGTCCCAGCTGCTTGGGAGGCTGAGGCAGGAGAATGGCGTGAACCTGGGAGGCAGAGGTTGCAGAGAGCCGAGATCGCGCCACTGCACTCCAGCCTGGACGACAGAGCGAGACTCCATCTCAAAAACAAAAACAAAACAACAACAACAACAAAACACTTTTGAAGATTACTTTTGTAGCTAGGGAATTAAGATACCATTTTAAAATCTATAAATTTAGGCCAGGCGCAGTGGTTCATGCCTATAATCCCAGCACTTTGGGAGGTTGAGGCGGGTGGGTCACCTGAGGTCAGGAGTTTGAGACCAGCCTGGCCAACACAGTGAAACTCTGTCTCTACTAAAAATATAAAAATTAGCAGGGTGTGGTGGCAGGTGCCTATAATCTCAGCTACTTGGGAGGCCGAAGCAAGAGAATCACTTTAACCTGGGAGGCGGAGGTTGCAGTGAGCTGAGACCGCGCCATTGCACTCCAACCTGGGCAACAAGAGTGAAACTCTGTCTCAAAAAACTAAATAAATAAAATAAAATCTATGAAATTGGCAAACATAAAAAAATTCTGTAATACATTGCTTTGGCAATGGTGTCGATTAAGTAATTCTCCTGCCTCAACTTCCCGACTAGCTGGGTCTATAGGTGGGCACCACCACGCCCAGTTAATTTTTGTATTTTTAGTAGAGACGGGGTTTCACTGTGTTGGCCAGGCTGGTCTCAAACTCCTGACCTCGTGATCCACCTGCCTCGGCCTCCCAAAGTGCTGGGATTACAGGCGTGAGCCACTGCGCCCAGCCCTTCCTGCCTTGTTAAGATATATTAAGATATTCAATAATAGAAATACCCCCATCTAATCAGAACAGATTCCCACTTCAGTTAAACCTTCCCCAGAAGCTGCGTAACTCAAGCCCACATCCTATCCTTTCCAACATCTTCCCACTGAGATGCCCCACAACTCCCCATGGTGTATATTCTCCATTATAACAAACAATAAACCCAACTTATTCAACTAAGGCAAGTCCTTCATCCTTGGCTGGAAGGCATTGGAACATGTTAAGTGAAATAAGGTATGAAACCACGTGCATATATACATATATATGTATATGCTACAATTGGAGTAAAATAATGTAAACATTTTTTTTTTTTTTTTTTTGAGGGAGTGCCGTGGCCGGATCTCAGCTCACTGCAAGCTCCGCCTCCTGGGTTCACGCCATTCTCCTGCCTCAGCCTCCCGGAGGCTGGGACTACAGGCGCCCGCCACCTCGCCCGGCTAGTTTTTTGTATTTTTAGTAGAGACGGGGTTTCACCGTGTTAGCCAGGATGGTCTCGATCTCCTGACCTCGTGATCCGCCCGTCTCGGCCTCCCAAAGTGCTGGGATTACAGGCTTGAGCCACCGCGCCCGGCCGTAAACATTTAAAATTTAAAAAATATGTTTGTAGGCCAGGCGCAGTGGCTCACGCCTGTAATCCCAACACTTTGGGAGGCCGAGGCAGGCGGATCACCTGAGGTTGGGAGTTCGAGACCCACCTGACCAACATGGAGAAACCCCGTCTCTACTAAAAATACAAAATTAGCTGGGCGTGGTGGCGCATGCCTGTAATCCCAGCTACTTGGGAGGCTGAGGCAGAAGAATCCCTTGAACCTGGGAGGTGGAGGTTGTGGTGAGCTGAGATCACACCACTGCACTCCAGCCTAGGCAACAAAAGCGAAACTCTGTCTCAAAACAAAACAAAAACAACAACAACAAAAAACCATTAGATACAGACATTCACTTCATAATGTGACCCGGGGCTCCTAAAGCTGGAATATGAGCAGGTCGTGGTGGTTCTGTATTTCTGGCTCTCACGGGAGCCCCATGAACTGAGAACATACAGCATTTAAATGTCATGCTACTCTACCAGAAGCCTTAAAACTATCATTTGGGCATCTTCAAAGTTCCAGCTAAAGGTGGCAACTGAGCTCCTCTGAGGCACTCTCTTACCTCAGCACCCTCATCTTAACATCTCCATGAGCAAGGCTACAGTACTTTCATAAACTGGCCCTTAATACAACCTATGTGGTAGGCACTTTTTTCCACTTAAATAAGGTTAAGCGGAGGTTTGAAGAAAAACTTTGTCAGTGTCAGAAACACAACTCATACCCAGGTCCTCAGAGTCTAAACCCACTGCATTTTGTACTTCACCAAGCTCCTTGTGGTCTCTTCTGGACTATTTTTCCCAGAGTTCTCAAAAAGACTAGCTGGGCCAGCACTACAGAGGCCACATATTAGCAGTGATCAGGAAGACACATTCAGTTGTGGGTCAAGCAGATATGGTCCTGCACCTGTGACAATGCTTAGCATTTTAACTACTCCACAGTTCTGGACTAAGTACCACAAATTTAAAGTTGCAGAGCTCAGTCATTTGCTTGTTTTTTGGAGACAGGGTCTCACTTAGTCACCCAGGCTGGAGTGCAGTGGCATGATCTCGGCTCACTGCAGCCTTGACTTCCCAGGCTCAAGCGATCCTTCTACCTCAGTCCCCCAAGTAGCTGAGACTACAGATGTGCACCACCACGCTTGGCTAATTTTTATACTTTTTGTAGAGAGGGGGTTTCGCCATGTTGCCCAGCCTGGTCTTGAATTCCTAGGCTCAAGTGATCAGCCCACCTTGGCCTCCTAAAGAGCTAGGATTACAGGCGTGAGCCACTGCACCTGGCCAATGATTTGCAAAAACTAAATTCATTATATAAAAAACTGACCAGCTCCATTAATAATGCAAAGACATTTAAATAAGAAACTGCAATCCAACTTTCAAATGTTTTATTTTTAGTGTTTTTAAACATTTTAATACAACAAGGATATAAAATAATATATATTAGTTAAATCTGGATTTAATTTAGAATCAAGATATTTACTTATGTACAAACACTGTGCTTCAAGGTATGGCTACCACAGGAACTTTCACATCTTCAAGTAATACTAGTTTCTCTGTGGATAGAGAGACATTTAGGTAGAATTCACAAAACAAAACATGTCCGTTTTAGTCCAAGCTAATTTTGCTTCTCCCATTAAGTACCAGTTTCTACTTTCTTTGTTCCATATCAGAAATACTTCATTTTTCTAATAATACATAGATCCTCTGAATAAAACTTAGTAAAACTGAACATTTTTAAGATGACATTACTAATTGATAATATTGCTTGGCTATGTTCAATTCTCCAGACAACCCAGTCCTTCAGATTGAAAGAGACCTGAAGCAACAATGAAATTAACATAGTGTTCTTTCTCTTCCCATATCAGGCACAAACATTCCTTATGCTGAAATATGAACTACACTGAATAAAAAGTTCTTTGGCTAATTTAGGACAGAATGTATTCTAGAAACCAGAATAGCTGAAATATGGCTTACAGATTTCAGAGATATTTGTACAGAACTTGAAGCAAAGTAATTGGTCACATTTTAGTTATTTGAAATTGGTGGCATTATATCCGGGTGGGGTGAGAAGGGGGGTCCAAAACCTAGTTTCATACTAATTTTAGTCATTCAGAGTTACTCAAAGACAGGGAAAAGAAACAACCTACTCAGTCTCTTTCCATTCTTATTCATCACCTGAAGCATTACGACCTTTGATGTTACTAACAATTTTCCTCTATAGCAGTATGGGGTAATTCAGGCTAAACCGCTTACAAACACAAACGGTTAAACTGTCAAGTTGGCATTAAAATGGACACCTTTGCTGGCTTAGAAACTGTCTAAATGAAACCAATACTGTTTAAGAAAGCAATTGGACTATTCTACAAGAGAGCTTTCTTGTCTCAAATGCCTGAATACCTTAAAGAACTGGCAAATGACTATATTATCATTACCTTTATTATGAAGAAAACCTAAGTCTATAAAAGACTATCAAATAATTACATTTATTAAATTAGAGCGTTTAAAACAAGAATGTGGTTAACATTCTTAGGCAATTTAGATCTAGAATCCTTTAAAAAAGCTTACTATGAAATTAATGGTGAAACTGCCTTTTGTTGAACATAGTCAAAGCAAATTAGTGTTATAAATATGACTTTGTGAATACATGGGTAATACTTTCCAAACAGATGTTTCTAAAACAGACTGTTTCTTACCAGCTATAAAAGAATCTGGCTTCTCTGTTTCCCATTTACAAATTATAGGATTTCTGGAATTCTTAGTAAAAACACACAGGCAGGGACAGGGCATGAAAGACCACTGCTCACAGACTAAAGAGTTACATTCCCTGCAGGTCTCTTGGTCCAATGGGTTCTGGTCTCTCAGTCACTGACTTTTTCTTCTGAATAGCCCACATTATTATTTAATTTAATTTAATTAATTTATTTATTTATTTGAGACGGAGTCTCGCTCTGTCGCCCAGGCTGGAGTGCAGTGGCACGATCTCAGCTCACTGCAACCTCCGCCTCCTGGGTTCAAGTGATTCTTCTGCCTCAGCCTCCCGAGTAGCTGGAACTACAGGCGTGGGCGCGCACCACCATGCCCGGCTAATTTTTGTATTTTTGGTAGAGATGGAGTTTCACCGTATTGGCCAGGCTGGTCTCGATCTCCTGACCTTGTGATCTGCCCGCCTCAGCCTCCTAAAGTGTTGGCATTATAGGTGTGAGCCACTGCACCCGGCATAGCCTGCATTATTTAACTGACCGGTTCTAAGGCTAAGTTCACTACTTTCTGATTTCAAAGGATACAAATAAATAGAGCTAGAAGTTCTATTTTTGTCCTAGCAATTCTGGTCACAGAACTATGGAGAGGATAGCCACACAAATAATTCTTGCAGCACAGCCACAAAAGGTTCCCCCCAAATTATTTGGTGACAACAGCAAACCTGTCTCCTTCAAAACCTCTTACTCTCTACCAACTCTTCAATTACCCTTCAATAACACTACCCTGCCTGGTCTTAAAAAAAAAAAAAAGGAAAAGGTTAAAAAAGGCAACACTGCTCCCAGGAACATAGAAAATGCATCGAAGACTTGCAACATAACCTCCAATTTGCATCCCCAAACCAAAAACCTTTTGGTTCCTTCTATACTAAAGTCTCTGTGATGATGTAAGCCTCTCACAAGTCTGCAACTACAGAACCAAATACAAGGTCAAAAAATATGTAGACCAAAGTCATGTAGCTTCTCTGCCTAGCCACATTCACAGATAAAATGTAAACATAAATACTATCTTCACTGTGGTTTAGATTTTAACCAGAAAAAAAAATGAAGAAAAAAATCTGGAAATTTCTGAACAAAACAAAAAGCAACTAAAATATAGGTTTCATGTTTAGGTAAAACTGAAAATAATTTTGTCTCAATGTTTTCCAAGAAAGAGATGATTAATTTATGTAAACACTGCCTTATAATAGTTAAAACAGTAAGTTATAAACCTAACTTACATTTTTCTCACAACATATATGAGCAAGTGCAAGGCTGAACAGTTATTTTACAATCCCCACTGCAGTCTGTTGTTAGGTACTCTCAATGTCAATAGCTCTGCAAAGTTAGTTGCATTTGATTTTTCTATTTGGTCCTAGAATAGAATTTATATGAAAGAAAGAAGACCGAGGTTAATAGCTATTTAACTTTTTGTTATTGATTGATTGAGACAGGGTCTCACTCTGTCACCAAGGCTGGAGTGCAGTGGCATGATTACAGCTCACTGTAGCTTCCTTGGGCTCAAGTGATCCTTCTGCCTTAGCCTCGCATGTAGCTGGGACCACAGGCATGCACCACCATGCCCAGCTAATTTTCTAAAAAACTTTTTGTGGGGACGAGGTCTCACTTTGTTGCCCAGGCTGGTCTCGTTTACCTGAGCTCAAGTGATCCTCCTGCCTCAGCCTCCCAAAGTGCTGGGATTACAGGCATGAGCCACTGCGCCCAGTCTAACTTGTTTTTTTTTTTTGTTTTTTTGAGATGGAGTCTTGCTCTGTCATCCAGGCTGGAGTGCAGTGGAGTGATCTCAGCTCACAGCAACTTCCACCTGGGTTCAAGCGATTCTCATGCCTCAGTCTCCCAAGTAGCTGGGATTACAAGTGCGTGCCACCATGCCTAGCTAATTTTTGTAGTTCTAGTGGAGATGAGGTTTTGTCATATTGGCCAGTCTGGTCTCAAACTCCTGACCTCAAGTGATCTGCCTGCCTTGGTCTTCAAAGTGCTGAGATTACAGGCGTGAGCCACTGTACCCGGCCATGTTCTTAAGAGAATGGGTCTTGCTGTGTTGCCCAGGCTGGAATGCAGTAGTTAGTCATAGCCTCAACACACTCCAGCCTAACTCCTGGCCTCAAGCAATCCTCCCGCCTCAGCCTCCTCAGAAGCCAGGACACTACAGCCTTGCACCACTGCACTTGGCTTAACATTTTAACATTAATGTTGTCATAGAGTTTTTTGAACCCTTTCCCAAAAGCCAACATCAGTGCCTCCCTAGCTAAATTCAGTCTGTTCTGTCACTAGAAAAATAATAGTAACACATCTTTTGACCTCAAGGGTCAAACCACTCTAACTGGCATAGGAAACATCCTTTACTTTTCATGATTATGCAACTCCTTTACATGTTGGCGTTTTGTTCCTAGCATGTAACAGAATCAGCAATTTAAGATATCAGATTCTGAGGTGTGAGATTTAAAAGCATAAAACTTGAACTGCCTCGCAGCATTTCTCAAGTGAGAAATAAATAATGTTCACAGCAGACACAAATTGGGGTCCTTCAGCACTAGCTGAGACTTGTTTGCATAATTTCCTTTCCTACCCAATTCATTTGGGCTTCTATGTAGCTTATACAGGGGTGGAAATATGACTCAAAGTGCAAAAATAAAATATTTCACCCAGATAACAAAGGAGCAAGCTTCTGATAAGCGGCCTAATTTTAGGCCTCAGAATGCCAGCACCTTTTCTAAGTTTTTGTTTTAAAATGGAATGTAAAACCTAATTATTATTCCCAGCAGCTAAGCTCATTAGTTGGGGTTTAAATTCCAATTCCATAACCATCCTACTGTCATAACTATTGTAAAAAATCATTAAAAATAAAGTAACAAATGTTATCACAGAGGTGAAATTACTTAAAGTACTATATTTCTAGTGTTGTAAATAGCAGCTAAGTTATATCACTTCCTGACTGCCAAATTAAGACTAAATACAAAGAAGGTATATACACCATTATATTTAAAAGTAAAAAACAACACAACTTTTTCATATCCAAGTATGTCTGAGACTGTTTACTTCCAACGGCCAAGAATGATAAATTTCAAAAACCAAAAAGTTGTATTTTGCGTGCTATAAGTTTCTTTTCAGGAGAAAATTCTTTGCATGCATACCTCCCTACTTAACGACAAAAGAACTTTATCTAACATCTGGTAAAACACTCCTATTTGGCTTATTAAATAACACCATTAAAGAAGCATAAAATTGGACTGTCATCTACTATAGCACAGAGTTATTCTGGGTACCTATACTACTAACATTAAGTCCATTTATTTTTATGGATGCAGCCATTTTTCCCTCATGAATACTTACTGATGGTTACACTGAACCCTCAGAACAAAACAAGCACTGCATCTTTTGTTGCATCTTTGGTGAAAAATGCCAGCTCTACATTTGCATTAATGAGGAGACCAATGGCATCCTAGCCAGTACTCTGTCACGTCATCTATGGCCTCTTTCATTCTCCTCTTATTTCAGGCATCCTGGTATGCTCAGTATACATAAAAGATGGTTCAGAAGGCAAAAACTGTCAGTAAAACAGATCATGTCCCAGCGTGGCATATTTTTAAACTGACACAGAGATTAGTCCAAAGAACAAGTACTGATCACTTGGTAGGGTTTCTTCTTCTAAAGATAATAAGTAGCTTCAAAACATATTATTTCTTGACCAGAGCCTTACTGGAAATCAATGAAAATTCCTCAATCAGCAAACTGCTCAAGTTGACTTGTTTAAAGTTCAATAAGCAAATACTCAACAGGTAAGGGTACAGCCTAACTTCAATCACAACATTAAGTCTTCCTAAAGAGAAGGGGCAGAAAACATCTACTTAAGCTTTCTGTTCAAACAGCTACATAAGGACTCTTGATTGTTCTTGCTTGCTTTTTATAATCATAACTTTGCTCAGAACAGAAAACTTTACTTTGTCAACACATAAGCCAGGCATCTAGGAACAACCTAGGGGGAGAATGCAAAGTTACTCATTTTCAACAACTATTATATATTTAGTCACAAATTCATTAGAAAGATAGTCTTCATCCAATTAGTCTTTTCATTATTGCTGGTTTTGAAAATGGCCAACAATATTCATTAGGAACTGTGCCATTAACATTGCATTCAAAAAAAGAGAACATGGGAAACCAAATCCTTGCTCTCCTACTCTGCTGATATGCTCTGGTATTGGCCAGAGTATGGTAGTACAAAAAGAGTCTTGTTGTTATATAAAAAGCAATAAACACATCAATGGAATAATGTTCATGGGCAGCCAAGATGAAGAAGATTCCAAAGAGGTTGAGAACCCAGGATAAAGTGTGCAAGAAATTCCAGCTTCTTGGTGTATCTAGGAAAAGGACAGAAAGATCATTTTAAAGCTACATTCCTTCCAATGCTGCTCAGTCACATGTTTCTCAGGTCAGGCTGTTTTGCCATTCTTCACAGGATCTGACACCCTCCCCACAGCCTTCACTGCAACTAGTTATCTAATATGCATAGAAGCACTAAAAAGATACTTACATTCAGTGACAAAGAAATTCAGCATAGTTAGGACGACTGTGTGGCCACTAAACATGTAATCTCCACATGTGTGAACGCCAGTCAGGGTCATACCAAAGCCACTCCAAATGGCAAAGGCTCGATGTAATTTCTCCCATACACTGCCATATATCTATAAAGAAAAGTTAAGAATTAGTGCTTCAAATGCTTAGGGAGGTGGGAACTTCCCAACATCCATTCCCATTGAAATTCAAATGCTGAATAACTTAGAAATAAGATCTAAGCCAAAGCAGTTAGGTCCTCAGTCTAATGAATTCCAGGCAGACTTCAAGACTGGGTGGGTAAAGCTTGGCTGTACTCAGAAATATTTTGGTAATTAAATGAAATCAGGTTGGGTGCAGTGGCTCACGCCTGTAATCCCAGCACTTTGGGCGGCTGAGGTGGGCAGATCACCTGAAATCAGGAGTTCAAGATCAGCCTGGCTACTGGCGAAATCTCATCTTCTACTAAAAATACAAAAATTTAGCAGGCGTGGGTGGCGCGGTGCCTGTAATCCAGCTACTCAGAGGCCGAGGTAGGAGAATCACTGAACCTGGGAGGCAGAGGTTGCAGGGAGCCGAGATCGCGGCACTGCACTCCAGGCCTGGGTGGACAGGGTAAAGTGTGTCTAAAAAAAATTAATTAAAAATCAGTAAATAAAGAATCATTGTAACATGAACTCCTTTACTAGGAGTTCCTTTATAATAAAAAGTTCTCTATAACACAAAAACATCTCAAAGTTTTTAATCAATATCACAGTAGTATTTGCTTGGCTATTCTTGCCAGTAAGAATAGGCATGATGACAGACAGAGATCAATGTTACCTTTCACATCACTCTCCTTCTTCACTGGGTAACAGAATCCCAAAAATATTGAGGCAGCAAATGAATTCAGCCACAATATTGCCTTTCCCAACCTCCTTGTGGCTAGGTGTGGCCACATGACTTAAGTTCTGTACAATAAGATCTAAGTAGAAGTGTTAAGGGTTTCTGGGAAGGTACTTATCAAGGTAAGAGACAACCAGTTTTGAGGAAGTCTTTTCTAACTTTCTACCTTCCCTTTCTTTTAGTCTACAACTCAGACTCATTCAACTGGAGGTGAAACTCCAGCAACCATTCTGGCTTTGAGGCTAAAGCCAAGTATTGTGATAGCAGGACCAGAAGGACAGAAGAATGATTGGGGGTTTTTTGGATGACTCATAAAATTTTCATACCAGACCTGGTGTACCTACCTTCGACTCTTTTGAAGAGAATAAAGCAGTTTGTGTGGTTTACTTAACCATAGCCACTTTGAATTTTCGTTAAGTTTCAACAGCCAACCTAATTTCCAACTCCACATATACGCCTAAAGAGAGCAATCCATTTTGAGGAAGACTTTGAGTGATAGCTGCTTTACAAAAGAGGGGCAGTCACTACTTTAAAAAAAAAAAAAAAAAAAAAGGCATACTGCCGGGCATGGTGGCTCACGCCTATAGTCCCAGCACTTTGAGAGGCTGAGGCGGATGGATCACCTGAGGTCGGGAGTTTGAGACCAGCCTGACGGGTGGAACCCGTCTCTACTAAAAGTATAAAAATTAGCCAGGTGTGGTGGCACATGCCTGTAATCCCAGCTACTCAAGACTGAGGCAGGAAAATCTCTTGAACCCGGGAGGGGGAGGTTGTGGTGAGCGGAGATCGTGGCATTGTACTCCAGCCTGGGCAGCAAAAGCAAAACTCCATCTCAAAAAAACAAACAAACAAACAAACAAAAAAACCCAGCATACTAATATTATAATAATAATACAATTTAATAATAATATAATAATGGTACAAAAAGGTGCTAAAATTTTATGTGCATTTACTATGTGCAAGGCGTGCTGCTAAGTGCATTATGTGTTATTGCATTTAATTTCTACAGCAATCCTATGAAGTGATTTAATTGTACAGATGAGGAAACTGGCTTAGAAAGGTCACATAGCTAGTAAATAACATAGGCAGGATGTGAACCCAGGGAGCCCAATTCCAAAGCCCTGTCTTCAAGATTCTATCAAATATGACCAAAATAAACAACTTCACAGATACCACAATCTCATTAGGAATCTCACCTGCTGATTATACACTACCCAGCTTTCCCTTTCTGCCTCATTTGAGGGAAAGAGAGGAAGAAGAATTTACTGTTAGAGAGAGAGAAAGAGAATACACATGGGTTTGGTTCTTCCGTGATCGCTATGAACATGGGCTTAGAGATATTACTCTTGAGAAAGTAAAAAATCACGTAGTAAATAAAGAGAAGGGACTGCTACGAAAATGATTCAACCAAGGATAGGAAACTAGTGATGCCAGTCAAAAGGTGCCTCTCCATCCTTTCCCATCTTAAATGTCCCATATATTCTTCCAGAAAAATAAAAACTGAAACACAACAGAGCAGAATGAAGAGGATGTTTTGATAAGAGAAGGTGTAGAAATATGCATTAAGTGTTTCTAAATTTCAAAAATAGACATGTTCTTGGTTCTGTCCTCAAACCCCTTACTTCTGGGAATGCAATTTCAAGCAATTAATTTATTATAATGAAAGTACCTTATGGAATTCACTGTAAGGGATTTGATTTCAAGTTACTATCACTTTAACTTTCTATTTATAACAATTGCTGCAAATAATACGGGTCAGTAAGTAGGTTATATTATAATTCAAAGCAATTAACAGTATTTAGGTCAGATTGGAGGAGAAATATCTATATATAACCAACTGATAAAAACAGTCATTAGAGACAGAAAAAGGACTGTTTATACCATAGAGGGATGGTATCTAATTTATTTTTGCAGCATATGTTGCAGCCCTATGCACACATATCCCTCTCCTCGGCGGCTGTCCTACAATTAAATCCCTTAGCTATGGAAAATTTTCTCTTTTCAGTGTAATAAGCTTATATTTTTCTTTTGAACTCTAGGAGGCAGCGAGCTTGCCAGTGTGAGCAGAGATCCGCCGCCACCTGGCCACTCCAGCCTGGGTGACAGCGGCGAGACTCCTCCTCTCAAAAAAAAAAAAAAAAG